TGCTTAGTTCACCCTACCACCCTCAGACTAACGGTCTCTGTGAACGCTTTAATGGTACCCTTAAGCAGTTGCTGCGGACCTTAACCTCAAATACCTTTGATGATGATCTGCTATTGGAATGTGGAAATAGGCATCCTTCAGGTCTATTGAGATCATCCAATCTTCTGGCTGAATTACTGCTATAATGAAAGACAAGGACTCCATCCTGAACCTTTGGAGATTGAGGGACAGATTAAACTTGTGTAGGTCTAAAATCGGACGCCAATCTCCAGATGGTTTTGGAACCAGGAACAGATTCGAGTAAACCCCTAAACCAATTTCTCCTTGAGGAACTCTTGTAATTACTCCCTCTTGCAGAAGATTGGAAATATCTCTTATCAAGGCTTGAATCTGTTTTGACAGGGAAATACCTTGAACTCTAGTCTGTATCCTTGTTTGAGGACAGAAACCACCCAGGGATTCAAATCTGCTTTAGCCCAGATTTCCCAAAAGGCACGGAGACGAACTCCTACTCCCAAGACCTGGGGTCTCCAACCTTCAGAAAGGTCTGTTTGAGGCTCTAGAACCGGTTGAGGATCTACCTCTGGCAATTCTTCCAGACTGGCCACTTCTCCAGGTTGAACTTCTTGTGAATTCTCTCCTTGGCTTATAGGACCTTGATTCTCGAAAGGACTGCCTGTCCCGAAAGGATCTTCTGTCCTGCCAGTTCTGGGAAAACCTTCTACCTCTGCGAAATTGGGGAAGAAAGACCTTCTTGCATTCGGCAGCTCTTTTGATGGCCTCCTCCAACTGCTTGCCAAACAATAATTGCCCAAGATATGGAATGGCACATAAATTCCTTTTTGCAACTAGGTCCGCATTCCATGATTTTAATCATAGGGCTTTATGTGCAGAAACTGATAATGCCATATTTCTGGCTAGGTTCTTAATTATATCCAGAGATGCCTATGAGATAAACTCAGTTGCCCATTTAATTTCTGATAGAGATTGTAATAGAGATGGCCTACTTACACCCTTCTCAATATCCTCTTCTAGAAGACAAAGCCATTTCATAAGTGCCTTAGAGACGGAAGTCATAGCTACTGCAGGTCTACAGGCCACTCCAGCAGAAACATAATTCTTACAAAGATTGATGTCAATCTTTCTATCCATAACATCCTTGAAGGAGGCTACTTCATCCAGTGGTAGGGCTGTGTTTCTCCCCAGTCTAATAATGGCCGCATCTACGTTGGGTGCATTATCCCAATCAGCAGTGTCTTCTTCAGAAAAGGGATATATAGAGGATATCTTCCCTTGAGCTGAGACCCTTTTCTGGGGTTTTCACCATTCCTTGAGCTTTAGCTCCTTAATGGCTTCATGACTCGGAAAAGAAGGTTTCTTCTTCATCAATTCTGGAAATATAGATGAGGAAGGCTTAGAGGTACTAGGTTCTTCAAGCGTCAGTGTATATCTGACAGCCTTAATTAATTTTTTGATGGTCTTAACATCCATGTGTTCTTCCACTAAGTCCGAATCTTCTGAGGAATACATCTGTGACGAGACCAATCTCGCCACATTGCATTGGAGAAGCCTGGTTGCTCGCCTGCTGCCTCTGGACTATGGCCCCCTTTTAAAAGACTTTATTTTGCCTGCAGAAAAGCTGTATTCGTGCTTTTCTGCCGGTTGTTCGGTAGATTCAATCTACCGAACAACCGCACGAATGAATAGACCACCTGGGAGCTGGAGTGTGCCGGCAATTAACCTCCCTGAAGCTGCGGTTAACCGCAGCTTAATTGACGAATGCTGGGTGGCCGCCATTCGTATCCCGAACACGAGGTCGCGGCCATTTTAAACATACGAATGCACAGCGGTGTTCGCCCCTATTTTCATGGAACTAAAATCGGACACAGTTTTGCGCGAACACCGCTGAAGCCGCCGACCTCCCTTCTTGTTCGGTGGAAGTGCACGAACGGCCCGGTGTTCGGTAGTTTTGTTTGAATGTGTTATACCCCAGATAGGAATCCCATGGAGCCCATTCGTATGAAACTGACTGTAAAGACTTTGGCTCCATGGCGATTAAACTGTATTCGTGTGGTCTGAGCGCCATTCGCTTAATAATGTGCGCTCAGACCTGAGCTATCTGGGGATATGTTACATGTCTGTGTTTTATGTAATAAATGTTACTTTATGTATTTTAAAGTATAATACTGGTTTTGTGTCCCCACGTGTGTAATGGAGTTTTGCCTTTGTCCTGGGAGATAATTGAATTACTTCTCCAGGGCAGAGGGGAGGAAGCCAGGATGCATTGTGGGGATGTTTTACTTCTGTATGTCTGTAATTGGTACATGTCTGTCTTTTGTTACAGTCTTCCATCTGGTCCCCTAGGGGAGTGTCCACCAGGTGGGAGACCTGCATAAATACTGGGCAGGTAGCCCTCATTAAACAGACCACTGCTTGACCCACAACACGGAGCCTTGTCTCGTCTTTGGGGGGATTTACTGTATGCTGATAGAGACTGATTGCCAGGAGTGTAAGCCGCTTAGGTGCTTTTCCTGTTCGTCTGCTAGCAGCTATTCGTGAGGTTTCAGTTCGAGTGTTTGGAGCATTCCCTTGTATGCAGTTCGGGTGTTTGGAGCATTCCCTTGTATGCAGTTCGGGTGTTTGGTGCATTCACTTGTATTCAATTCGTGAGTTTTGGTGATTCTACAGTAGCTGTACCTGGCTCTGAAAGGGGATTATCGTCAAAGCGGTTTTTACCCCTTTTGTGCAAAACGGTCCGTTACAACATCTCTTCCCCCTCCTCCAACTGAGCTTCCACAAATGAGGCATCAGAGTCTGAAACTTCTCTATCTCTATGAGAAGTTGTTCTTGGCCTCTTATTAGCTCTCTGCTGTTCCATTGACTTATCTACTGCCATCTGGATCCACTTCATAATCTCTGGAGATGGATCCTTAGGAGAACCAGCTGCTTCGGACAAGCAAGTACCACATAGCTTCTTTCCTTCCAAAGCCTTAGCATCACATGCAATACAATGGGCAGACTTGTGAGACTTCTTTCCTCCAACAGATCTTTCCGATGTGTCAAACTCATGGACACTAAAACCAAATGGAAAGAGGAGGATTGGAAATACAATTTCTTTGCGCTCTTTTAATCCAATAAATAAAAAGGAAAAAGTTTTCCTTGATTGCCTAGAAGGAGACCCTCTTGAAGACCTAGATGCTGACATTAGGGCAGCTGTATGAAGGAATACACAAGAATTAAAGAATGATAAATGAAGAATACCTATTAAAAGAGTAAACCTAAATGTTAAAGGTAAAATGCTTCTCACCTGCACTAACCATAATAAACGCCAAAGAAAGTATTCTTAAGAAATTTCAGCTTAAACCCAAGGAGAGCAAAAAAGAGCACCTTGTCTCTTTAAATAGCAACAACCAAATGAGCATTACCCTGAACTACCTTCAATGCGCATGTCCAATCAGCCGAAATAATAAGGGAATTCACAACAAAACGAACATACCTTTCGTTTGCCGAACTGATACTAAGCATATGAAGACAGGAAAATTCATCCGAATTAAATTTTCATACGAACGCAGAAACAAACAAATGCTACCAGAGCCTATAAGGAAAACGCCGAACGCAGCTTCAAAACTAATGAACACTAAGAACACAGGCAAATAAGCCCATAAGAAGGTCTCCCATTATAAATCCATTACCAGCAAAAAACTGATAAAGAATGCAGGTAACCTATAACCTATATCTGAAAATGATATAAATATTTTGCAGAAATGTTTATCCATTATACTGCTACCATTAGGATCACTGCGGATTACATATATATATATATATATATATATAATTATTTATATTCAATGTGTGTTTACTACATGCACCGCTCCCATAAGGATCACTGCGGCTATAAATCAATGAAAGGAAAAGCATGAGTCACACATAATGACCACTACAATAAAGATCACCGCGGACTAATCAAAGGTATAAAGTGTATACTCCACGCACCGCTACCATTAGGATCACTGCGGTTAAATCTCTTATGCGTAAGATCACTTAACAAAAAATGCTACCCGTAGGATCACCTCGGTACAATTTCCATCACATAATACCCATTATATTACCGCTATTAGATAATTATTGCGGAATTCTTCTAATATTAAGGATATCTGCCTTGTATATTTTTTTGTTTAATAACATTTAAAATTTCCATTTTTTCCAGGAGAGAGAGGCTGAACTCTCCTGGGAATTAAAGAGGTAAACTTAAAATAAAATAAAGGTAAGGTAAATGACCTGAATCATGTCCACAGCCAAGAGGACAGGAAAAAAGACTGATGATACCAGGTAAGGAGGGCATATGTGTAAGTATTTCCTGTCCTAAACAGCCAAGGGGGAGGAGCTATCCCTATCATGATGCTGCCATGGATTAGTATCCAGAAATAAACTTACATGATTTAGAGCCTTTAACATATATAGCCTCTAAACTTTGTTATATGTGTGCTTTAAGACAGCATACACACCCCTCTTCCGACGGATATTCAGGTCAAACAGCTCCCAATATGATATATAAAACAAGGGAAAATAGAAAAAATCTCTTAAGTGCAATCTGTTTTCATAAGGTAATAAGTGGTAACACACTATTGTGGAGACGCTCACCTGATTAGGAGCCTTTATGAACTTGCTCCTAGTTGCAGTGCCTTAGTGTCTATTTGTAGGGTGACACTTTCACTTTGGAACCTGGTAGAGGAATCAGGATCAGGATACTATAGTATAAAATATACTTTTTATTTGGTTGAAACATTAAAAAAATGAAATCAAAAAGTAAAATAAATTGAAGACTAAAAGTAAAATAAAATGAAATAGTGATGCTCCTTGTCCATGTGTCCTCCAAGACGCGTTTCGCCTGCCGAGTAGGTTTTAAAATTTATTTTGGTTGTGCACAATATTACAAAGAAGCCCACAATGCCACAACAGCATTGGCAGCAAATACATCAGGAATTGGAACACTACTTCAGGGAAAATGGCGTGCCTGAAGCATCCCCGATATCCGTGTGGGAGGCCCACAAAAGTGTCATTCGTGGTATATTTATCCGCTTTGCGTCGCAAAAACGAAAAGCAACTATGATTGAGATGACCGACTTATACCAGAAGATAACTTCGCTGGAGAGCCAACACAAACGGTCACAGCTGACCGGGGTCTACGGGGAACTGATGGAACATAGGAGGAAACTTAAAGACCTCATCACACGAAAACACCTTCGCAGTCTACAACGCACGAAAGGGTTCTACTATGCCCACGCTAATAAGGGGGGGAGATACCTGGCTAGGCTGCTCAAGGGCCCTACGCCCCGCAGGCAAATACGACAACTGCGACTGGCCTCGGGTGAGGTGACCCCCTTCCCACAGAAGATAGCTGATGAGTTTCGGACCTTCTACCAAAACCTTTATAACTTACATCCTCCCCATCGGATGACGCTCGAAGCAAGCCACGACGCACGAATAACAAACTATTAGCCGACACGATCACTAACGCAATCGGCCAAGACTCGGCGGCCGAGCTCGACACACCGATCAGCACGGAGGAGCTAGCGGCAGCCCTTAAGGTATCCAAATCGGGCAAGGCCCCAGGTCCGGACGGCTTCTCGACTGGTTACTATAAGAGTTTCTCCAATCTCCTTCTGCCGTGGCTGACCAAAGCGATCAACACGGTGGGTGAAGGCGGGAACCTGGGCGCGGAGTCCCTAGCAGCGACCATTACGGTTTTGCTTAAGCCGGGAAAGGACCCACTACTCTGCGGAAGCTATCGCCCAATTTCCTTGTTGAACGTAGACGCCAAGTTATTCACCAAGGTACTTGCAAGCAGACTCAACCACCTCCTACCGGATCTGATTCACGTAGACCAGACTGGCTTCATCCCGGGACGGGAGGCTAGGGATAGCACTTTGCGGCTGTTCCCCGTCCAACAACATGCCAGAGCAACAAAAACCCGGCTACTCCTCTTATCAACTGATGCGGAAAAGGCATTTGATAGGGTCGACTGGACGTACATGAAGGCCACACTACATCGGATGGGCTGTGGACAGAGGTTCCTCACGTGGATATCAGCTTTATATAGTAAACCACATGCGAATGTGAGAGTTAACGGGTCCACGACTGCCGACTTCGCGATAAGTAATGGCACCCGTCAGGGTTGCCCACTCTCGCCACTTCTGTTCGCAATGTCATTGGAACCACTACTCCAGGCGATTCGCTTAAACCCGGACATTCAGGGCTATAACTGGAGAGACACACACCATAAAGTAGCCGCGTACGCTGACGACCTCTTGTTTTTTGTGCAAAGCCCTAGGACAACATTACCCTGCCTGCTCTCGGAATTCGACAAATTTGGTCAAATCTCGGGCTTCAAGCTTAACCTCTCAAAATGTGAAGTCTTGAACATCACGATTCCTTCCGAAGAATACGCATCCCTTGACTCACAATTTCCTTTCCGTTGGTGTTATGGTAAAATGAAATACCTGGGAATCTGGGTGGCTACGGCTCCAGATGACATCTATCGAATCAACTTTGCTCCCCTCATGAAGTCAATCGTCACGGACTTGAATAGATGGTCGTACCCTCACATAACATGGCACGGCAGAGTGGCAGTACTCAAAATGAATATCTTACCGAGAATTCTCTACCTTATGCAGACAATCCCACTGGCCATACCAAGTATCTTCGTTTCCTCTCTGAAAACGGCTATAATCAAATTTGTATGGCGCGGCGATCGCTCCAGAATCCGACATGACATTCTCTGCCGGCCAAGAAATCACGGAGGACTCGCACTCCCGGATATCAAGAAATACCATCAAGCCACGATGATGCAACGGATACTGGACTGGCACCAGGACCCCACGACGAAACAATGGGTAGAACCTGATAAAGGCCTACTCGGACCATCACTCGAGATGGAGATATGGGGAGGTGTGAGGGGTCAGGTGTCCAACGAAAACAGAGGGGGCCTGATACGACACACGCTGCTCGGCTGGAGGTCGCTGAGGAACCTGGGCCACATCTCGCCTACTCCCAGCCCCATGATTCCGATCACGCATAATGTGACTTTGGGAGGCGGACTACCATCAGGGGCATGGCCTATCACGGGTACTAGGGACTATGTCCCCATCTATCAAGTTCTTGAAGGGGGCAAGTTGCGGGACCTGACCTCTTTATTGGGGACAGAGCCTAGGACCCCTCTTGCGATCCTCAGATACCTTCAATTACAACACTACTATAACTCGCTGCCGCATAATGATTGCCTGCATCGCGATCTCACCTTGTTTGAAGGCCTATGCGTCCGGGGCACCCCACTAGACCACGCAATCTCGGCGATGTACCAACACTTACTTATAGGGGATACGCCTCAGGCCTCCACCTTTCGCCGTCAATGGGAGGAACAACTCGGAAAGACACTCACACAAGCACAATGGGACACGGCATTACTGTGGCAGCAGAAAAGCTCAATGAGTTCGTACTACCAGGAAGTTAACTACAAATTGCTCTCATTATGGTACAGGACCCCGATACTGTTGCACAGGATCTTCCCATCAATCACCCCACTGTGCTGGAGATGCCAGGCAGAACGCGGCACACTGATACACATATGGTGGGAATGTAGGGACATCGTTCCATACTGGGCGATGATTAAGGAAGCGATAACTGACATCCTGGGAGACATCCCGGAATGGAGCGCGGAGCTAGCCCTGTTACACATCTCGACGCAACCCATTCGGACGTACAAAAGATCTATACTACACCACCTGTTAAACGCGGCTAAAGCTAACATACCGGCACTTTGGAAACAACGCAACATACCGTCGAAGACAGAATGGATACGCAGGGTGGAAGACATATATGGGGCGGAAGACATTCACGCCACCCTGACCGACCGTAAAACGAAACATACGGAGATGTGGCTCCCTTGGTTCCTATTCATTACCCAATACAGACAAAGAGCAGATGCTTCTGAACCCACTAATGGAGCGACAGCAGACACTGGTTCCACTTGACGCAGACTAACCCAACCTACACCCCTTTCTTTTATACCTATTCCTTCCCTACCTTTCTTCACCTTTGCAATCACTCAGCTAATGGGCTCCGGGTCTCTGGGCTGAGGGAAGGGGCTTAGGGAGAAATATTAGTAGACGTGCAATTTGCTACACCCTCACGTCACGTATGCTTTTAGTCTTCGCGGGATCTGAACGATAAACCATAGCTTGGGGAACACGAGATATTCTTAGATACACATACTATTGTGGCACAAATCGAAGTGAGGGACAATACATGTTCATCACTTACGGTTGTGCACCGAATAGACCTACTTCACGCTCACCATACGCTAACGCTGGTACACACACCAATGACGTAGCACACTCACTCACATTGATACTCGCGTTGTCAATACCAATGACATGTAACTCGCAATACGGGATATTAGCGTACCGCAGGTTCTGCCAGGATTGGTAACGACGTTGGCCTTAGCGCATGCTAGCTACGAACTAGGAATACTCCCACCATTTCTGCGTGCTAGGATACACCTAGCGACACCAAAACAGTGGCACACCTTTCATACAATGGCTTCAATTACCCGCCCAAAAGACCAGGTAACGCAGTGTCATGTGGCTCCCGCCATAAATAGCTGAGAACGACCTCTCCCGACGCAACTCCTGTTTACTCTTTACGCACATATTGGCTAAGGGAGGCAATCTGATTGTTCCAGCCGTTCCATTTTATATGATACCACTGTTTCCCCTCGTTGTATAATTATATTGCTTTTAAAATGTGAACAGCATACTCACCTTGCATGGGGACCTACGAGTCTCTCTAGGGGAAGTTATGTGGAGATTTGCATATCTCATTGTATTATATTTTGTGTACCAATATACTACAGAAACCTGCGAGTTTCACATTGTTTACCAATTCACTGCTTTCCACACAGTGAACTATCTCAATAAAAAGATTTACAAAAAAAAAAAAAAACAGCATTGGCAGGTATTTCTGTCAAACAGAGTATAACATGGCATATAGGATATCAGCACATTTTTTTTTTATAAGAGAGAAATAACAGTGTTCTTCATACCTCAATCTCTGGGCAGCAACCCGGAAGTGATCACTCTCCCCTCCCCCCAGAGCGATCACTTCCGGGTTGCCGCACGTGGCACCCGGCAGTGTAGGGAAGAGCATCTGAAGCCATCTCCAGGCTACAGATGCTCTTACCTTTACTGAGTGCCTCGAGGCCCTAAGTAATTGTTATAAAAAAGAAATTACATTTAAAAAATAATTAAATAATACACAAATTAACCCCTACCCTCTCTCCCCCCCTTCCCCATGTACTTACCGATTGCCGCCGTTCCCATGCCGGCGATCAGTCTTCTTCTTTGGGTGGACTCTCTGGACTGAGCTCAAAGAGTCCCCCCTCTCCAATTTAGGACTCCCAGGGGCCATGTGACCACTCTAAAAGAGCCATCACATGGCCCCCATAGGTGTCCATAGTATTGCCAGCAGGGGGACTGCCTGAACTGACAGGCAATCCCCCTGCTGGGGAAAAAGTAAAAAAAAAGTTAAATAAAAGTAAAAAAAAATAAAATAAATAAATATCTATATATAATATGTATATATATATATATATATATATATACACACACCTTATATATAACTTTAAACTAAGTATTTTTTATTAATATACAGGGAGTGCAGAATTATTAGGCAAATGAGTATTTTGACCACATCATTCTCTTTATGCATGTTGTCTTACTCCAAGCTGTATAGGCTCGAAAGCCTACTACCAATTAAGCATATTAGGTGATGTGCATCTCTGTAATGAGAAGGGGTGTGGTCTAATGACATCAACACCCTATATCAGGTGTGCATAATTATTAGGCAACTTCCTTTCCTTTGGCAAAATGGGTCAAAAGAAGGACTTGACAGGCTCAGAAAAGTCAAAAATAGTGAGATATCTTGCAGAGGGATGCAGCACTCTTAAAATTGCAAAGCTTCTGAAGCGTGATCATCGAACAATCAAGCGTTTCATTCAAAATAGTCAACAGGGTCGCAAGAAGCGTGTGGAAAAACCAAGGCGCAAAATAACTGCCCATGAACTGAGAAAAGTCAAGCGTGCAGCTGCCACGATGCCACTTGCCACCAGTTTGGCCATATTTCAGAGCTGCAACATCACTGGAGTGCCCAAAAGCACAAGGTGTGCAATACTCAGAGACATGGCCAAGGTAAGAAAGGCTGAAAGACGACCACCACTGAACAAGACACACAAGCTGAAACGTCAAGACTGGGCCAAGAAATATCTCAAGACTGATTTTTCTAAGGTTTTATGGACTGATGAAATGAGAGTGAGTCTTGATGGGCCAGATGGATGGGCCCGTGGCTGGATTGGTAAAGGGCAGAGAGCTCCAGTCCGACTCAGACGCCAGCAAGGTGGAGGTGGAGTACTGGTTTGGGCTGGTATCATCAAAGATGAGCTTGTG